AAACCCCCCCCCCCCCTCCCCCCCAAAACAAAAAAAAAACCCTTTTCAATAAACCAGAAAGGGGATTGAGAAAAGAAAGAAAGAAAGAAAGAAACTCTTATACGAGGCATGATAAACATTTGTATGGAATACAATGAAACGTTGAAGGGAGATTAATGCAGTAGTATGGAGTGCAGTCTACAAGTAAGCCTCTTTGTCGTGTCACTACTAGAATAGCAATTCGGAGATTAATGGTTATGCCTACTAATGTCTCCTTTATCTGCAGGGTGCAAAGCAAGAATCCTCGTCATACAAGTCGTCCGGTGCAAATCAGGGGCTACCTCCCGTTGTGTATATCCTCATTGTGGACTACTTTATTTCCACTCCCACCTCCGCCCACCCAAAAGCCACGCGCACATAACACACATACAAAGTGACTGACAATTTTGAGAATAAGAAAAGTTTGGTACTAATACCGATTTTGAAACACTGCATATATATGAATTCCCCCAATCTAAAAAATTCTCTTAAAAGAAGATTTTTTTCACACTTTGCCGCATCACAACAAATAAAAGAGCTCAAAGACAGCGCCTACCAAAAGATACTGAACCTTACCAGGTTGTTGCAATTGTTCAACTTTTTCTCACCTTGAAAATACTAACAAATATCATTGGCATGGAAATACAAAAAATTTGGCATCTAATATTTCATTTGACGTAATATAATACACTCGGTATGGCCAGAACATATAAGCTCCCTATAATTTAGCTGCCACAGCACGAGTGGGGAAAAACTGCACTCTGATTCACAAACACAATTACGACAACTAAACCTCATCCTACTCACACAGGAAGAAGAGCCAAGTTCATTCAAAGAATGACAATTAATCTCTTCTTAATCATTTTCCCATGTGGGTCAAGATCCTACTGATCAGAAGTTCCTTTTTCCCAGTAATAGGAAGGTTGTGTGCTGTCAGGTAGTACTTCAACTCCGTCACTGTTAAATCCTTCAGCTGCAGAACATAGATCACAAACAAAAAAAATGCTTAAAACGAGAAGTTAGAAGTAAAAATTTATACTGAACCATTGATCCTAATACTTCATAGGCATTGGTGTTTAAAATTTTTCCTCCAAATTCACCTAGTTCGTAACTATTCCATGAGAGTATCATGTGAAGCAATAGGTGAATCTAATACCATGGGAATAACACAAGTAAGTTCAACATCACCTTTCCATTTTCCGCAAGGTCGGTCCAGTCAAAGTTTGCACACTCCTTCACTGCATTTTCAGCGATTGCTTTTCTTTTTCTGGATGCATCAGTTACTTTTCCATTGGCAGCAAAGTCATTATCCTCCTCATAGTCTTCTCCATAGACAGAAAGCTTGAAATCTTCCAGTGCTTTAACAACTCCCAGCCTGCCATTGATGAACACAGACCTCAACTACAACTTCTGTGCAGAAGAAATAGTACACAAATGACAGCAAGACAACTATATACAGACAAAACTCCAAAATGGCATCAATGCCTGGTACCTAGCCATCCCTTCCTCATCTGGAACTGTTTCATCTTTGATTTCAGGCATCTCATCTTCATCTAGTGCTAAAGCCTGTAAGACAGCATAGTGTCTTTGCAAGGCTGCATGGAGTGGTAATTTCAACTTAAATATCCAGTAAAAAACAAGGGAATAAAAGTGAGATTTAAGAAAAGTAGAGAACTCAAATGTTTGAAAAAGATAAAATGATGCCATAATTAACATGGGACTCTACTTTCTCCATACTAGATACAAATATTACCACAAACCAGTAGGACAAGAGTACTAAGTTATAAATTGATACTGCAAATTCGTGAATGCCAAAATTGGCCTGAAAATCATACATATATAAATATGAGAAGTGAATGAAAGACAAGACATCAAAAAACATGTGGCAAGAATTTTTGAATCAGCACCAATGTTACTGTGATCAAATCCAATACAAAATCTTTTATATCTCCAAAGTCAGTATTTAAGTTCATATATGTACTAAATTTCAGATATGAAATAACTGTGAGCATTCACGAAGATTTCCACAATCTATTATGGTCTATATATTTATGCTCCAACAAAATGTAGAATATATATGGCTCCCAAAAAATTTTAGATTCATGTTTGGATTTTTTGATATTGTTCACCGGAAAATTACAATTTCTTACCATGACCATTTTGTGCAAAACGTAAATACGATTGAGAACTTGAATCTTAGAGCAATCATACAGTTCCTTGAATTCCTCAATACCCTCAATTATCAACCAAGAAGCTCAGATACTTGTCGGAGATGTGCCGTGACAGTGTCAGACATGTGGCCAGACCACAACCATGATAGGGCCATGATGTTTTTTTTAATCGACTATTAACAATTAAGAGTGATATAGGATTTTTTTATTTTACTTTTGTGCTTTTTCCTATGCAACTTAAATGATTATGGATATAATTATGTTTGTTGAAAATGGTGGATATTAATTTTGATCTATTTCAATTTTAATCAAAAAAATTAATATTTTCCAGATTTTATTAATATTATTTTAAAATTTTTATTTTTTTAATATTTTACAAATTTATTATTGTTTAAAAAATATGTAATATTATTCTAATTTTTTGTATCTGAGTCTTATATTTTTTAACTTGTGGTATTACCATGTTCGTAACGTATTGGACATGACACCTATGTTTGTATCCACGCTTCCTAGATTATCAAATTAGTTAGAAAAACCAAATATTCATGCAAAAAATGATTGCGAAATTCCTAGAGATCATAAAATAGATATAGAAATAGGGATCATAAAAAATGAGAGAAAATTACAGATTGGAATCACAACTACTATCTTTGCTTTTTATAGAATAATTCTCACAAGTATAGAATATATAGATTTACCGGGATTACAAAATTGGCACACAGAAAAATCTTTCAAGTCAACGCGTCTAATTAAAGCAATAGCTTTCTCAATTTGCCCCTCGGTTGCTCGAGGCGTTACAACATTATTGTGAGTATGAAGCTGCAAAAAGCCACAAGATTTACCACTAAAATTTTTAAAATGAAAATCATATTTAGCCGATATAGATATTGCTCTTACCTCTTCGATGTGTCTAATGTCATCAGAATACGGAAGATATACCATGTGCATCCCGGGCGGCTCAACTTGACCACTGGAACTGATTATTTCATCCTATAGTTTAACACGAATTAGCGAGCACATATTGACTAATAGATCTAATAATAGATCACATGGAAATAAAGACAATAAAATTTGGAAAGAGTTGAGGAATAAATTAACCAAGAACTTGATTCTCCTAACAGATCATCTAATCATCATATGGTAAAGAGTTCGCTAGGAAAGGGATAATTAGGTGGGGGAAATGAAGCCCCTTTATGTAGTTGATCTGAGTAATATAATAGGCCTTTTTGTAGGTCTGGTAGTGCCGATATATAAGTTGAAATGGGTTATATTGAGCTTCCTTTTTCCTTTTCTTTTTTTCATTTTTTTCCAAGGGTATTGACAAATCATGTCTTTTTCTTCCGACTGCTAATGGTTTCCACATGCTTCATGTGTACAAGAGTGAGCCTTACCAAAATAGAAAACTAATCAATAAATCCCTATGAGAACAAACATGTACAAATTAACACGAGAAATCCTAAAAAAGTAGAGCACAAAAATGGCCAGAACACGCTACAAATAACTGTCGTTTACATTGAAATTATATAGTTGATTGATCCTACATATAGAGTAATAGATCATAGTAGTCTATAATCAGTCCATACAAGCAATGCGTAGCAAGCATATGTGCACAATAATTTCGCTCATCTTCCTCAGCTCTCTTTTTAGTAATTTTAGTAGATTTTAAGTGGACATTTAATATGAGTAATCTTAGCAATTAGTTGTTTCATGACATAAAAAAGTCATGGAGAGATTCTAAATTTGTTAAGAACATGTTAGCAACGTGTCCACAATTAATTAGTTTTTACTCATGGATACGGCCAAAAAAGTATTAAACACGCGTCTAAGGCAGACACTTCACTTTCGCTCAAGTGTTTGGGCTTCTTAGCTTAAAACATCTATATAATAAAACAACTCATACTTGAAATGTTTGTTGAAATGCCCAAAACACAAACCCCAATCATAATGCCCATGAAATGTTTATTGAAATGCCTGAGAGACATGCACACACACAAATCGCACCCACAATGGGGCATTTGAGATTTTAGAATTTTAATTTAATTGCATCGTNGAGGCGTTACAACATTATTGTGAGTATGAAGCTGCAAAAAGCCACAAGATTTACCACTAAAATTTTTAAAATGAAAATCATATTTAGCCGATATAGATATTGCTCTTACCTCTTCGATGTGTCTAATGTCATCAGAATACGGAAGATATACCATGTGCATCCCGGGCGGCTCAACTTGACCACTGGAACTGATTATTTCATCCTATAGTTTAACACGAATTAGCGAGCACATATTGACTAATAGATCTAATAATAGATCACATGGAAATAAAGACAATAAAATTTGGAAAGAGTTGAGGAATAAATTAACCAAGAACTTGATTCTCCTAACAGATCATCTAATCATCATATGGTAAAGAGTTCGCTAGGAAAGGGATAATTAGGTGGGGGAAATGAAGCCCCTTTATGTAGTTGATCTGAGTAATATAATAGGCCTTTTTGTAGGTCTGGTAGTGCCGATATATAAGTTGAAATGGGTTATATTGAGCTTCCTTTTTCCTTTTCTTTTTTTCATTTTTTTCCAAGGGTATTGACAAATCATGTCTTTTTCTTCCGACTGCTAATGGTTTCCACATGCTTCATGTGTACAAGAGTGAGCCTTACCAAAATAGAAAACTAATCAATAAATCCCTATGAGAACAAACATGTACAAATTAACACGAGAAATCCTAAAAAAGTAGAGCACAAAAATGGCCAGAACACGCTACAAATAACTGTCGTTTACATTGAAATTATATAGTTGATTGATCCTACATATAGAGTAATAGATCATAGTAGTCTATAATCAGTCCATACAAGCAATGCGTAGCAAGCATATGTGCACAATAATTTCGCTCATCTTCCTCAGCTCTCTTTTTAGTAATTTTAGTAGATTTTAAGTGGACATTTAATATGAGTAATCTTAGCAATTAGTTGTTTCATGACATAAAAAAGTCATGGAGAGATTCTAAATTTGTTAAGAACATGTTAGCAACGTGTCCACAATTAATTAGTTTTTACTCATGGATACGGCCAAAAAAGTATTAAACACGCGTCTAAGGCAGACACTTCACTTTCGCTCAAGTGTTTGGGCTTCTTAGCTTAAAACATCTATATAATAAAACAACTCATACTTGAAATGTTTGTTGAAATGCCCAAAACACAAACCCCAATCATAATGCCCATGAAATGTTTATTGAAATGCCTGAGAGACATGCACACACACAAATCGCACCCACAATGGGGCATTTGAGATTTTAGAATTTTAATTTAATTGCATCGTTTTTATCTTGCTCTCATTTTTTGTTATTGAGTTCAAATGCTTATTTCTTAGTTTTTGGCCATTGTTTTTGGCATGAGGATGAAAATTTTTAGTCCTGAAAATTTGGAACCTTTACCAATGACTCAATGAGATTTAAAAACTTAAGGTTCAAATGAACCCCAAACCTCTGCATTTGCTTAAGGTTTAAAGACACTGTTTAATATAATTGGTATTGTAGATTATCCTTCTTGATTCTTGGTAATTGGAATTGATTTTTGTTATAATGTAACTTTTGTACAGTACCAAGATTTATATATTATCCTTCTTTTTTTGGTAAGTTTTAATTGGTATTGTCGATTATGCTTCTTGATTCTTGGTAATTAGTATTGATTTTTATTATAATGTAGCTTTTATATGGTACCAAAATTCATATATTATCCTTCTGTTTTTGGTAAGTATTGTAGATTATCCTTTTTGTGTGAGATTAGAGCCCAACCTCCTTGGGATAGCCATGGTCTATGCATGTGACGTGACACCTTTTATAACTTCACAACAATTGGTATATTTTGATAGAATGAGCAGCTAAGGTTGGAAAACAACTGGGAAGGAGAATGCCTTGATGGGGAGGTGAGCATTGAGTGATGGATTGTGAAAGAGCCCTTTGGGTCGCATATGAACCGTATCTTCATTCACTGAAATATTGTGGTCGTTACAAATCAGTTCATGCATTAATTTGTGCTTTGTATTGTTCATATTTTTTATAATTGATTTTAGGTGGTCATCCAATTGTTATAAGTTGTTTCTTTGATTAATTTTTCTCCTTGATGTTCACTAAAAGTGGCCATTTCAAATCCCTCGCGAACTTTGTAGGATTGCCACTCAAATTTTGTTTGCTACATGCTTCTTAGCGTATTTGCTTGCAAATTATTGCAGGTTCTGCAAATGGAATCACAGCTACTAATTTGCTTGAAGTTTGAAATCACAGCCCCGGTATTGAATTGTTTTTTGCTTGTAAGTTTGATGTCTGATGCTTATTGAAAATATATATTTTCCCTTATTTTTACACCCCTATTTTGCACCGAATTTGTCTAGCCAAATGGTCGAAAACACTGTATATTAATTTATTTATCAATATAACTGTAATTTTGGTTGGATAAGGAGAAGATTATTTTTTCATTAATTTGCATTGTTGCTTTTTTATGGGATTCTAACAATGATGCAGTCCTTTTTTCTCCTCCAGATAAATCATGTTTGAAAATTAAGGATCTCTACTTAATTGAGTTGTCATGACAAGAGTATCTTCTATTAAGTTGGTAGGAAAGGAAGAGAATATAAAATTTTGCATTTTTTAGTATTTTGTTGATTGATCTCTTGAACTTAAGTGAGCTACACGATTTTATTGAATTTCAAGTTTTTATCTTTCTTGAACTCCACAAATGATCCATATCCAATTGAATCCAAAGTTGAACGGTGTGTTGTGGCATGTGTTTCCGTAATATGATATGGTAAGGTTATGAAAAAAAGAATGATTCTAAACATTCTTCAACTGCCACTAATTCTTGACAGTCCCAAATTTGTTGGTGGACTATTTTAGTAGATGTACGAATCAAAGACATCCAAAAATTTAGCATAAGGGTAACTTTTTGTTGGGTCCTATTGGTTTAGTTAATGATGGATGGTTACAATGGACAAAAATTGAAAAAAACTAAAATGGAAAGAATAAGCTAGGGGAAAGAGGGAATTTCTAAATCATTTCCAGTTCTAACGTCAATTATTACTGTGATCATATCAAGTTTTGTCGTTGGTGGCTTTAAAAAAAAGATATAAAATAAGCATTTATGATAAGAGTAGTTTTATTGTAAATACTTATTTTTGCTATTCTTTTGCATAAAATATTTTAGCATGTTGTTTATAATATGCGCTTAAGTTCTAGGTAATATTTTTATTTGTTTTGTTTTGAAGAGAGGATATTTTTAGTTGTTTTATTTTGTTCTGTTTACAAAGAATTAGAGAACTAGAGCCATTTTCTCCTCTTCGTACTTGGTTTGGTGGAGTTGTGCTACATTTTTTATTTGCTTAAGTTTAAAAAAGTCCTCATACAGTGCCTAGCAATATGTATTAGAAATTAACGTCAGGAGGTTTTAATTAATTATGAAGGTGATATGATTGTAACTCATTTTGTTCATTCATATGGTAAGTGTATATCTATCACATCAGTTCGCAAATGGATAATATGCTTAAGATGATAAAGTCAGTATTCGAAGTTCAACTGAATTGAATTATTGATAATGTTTGCATTGAATTTATAAAGTTTTTTTTTCCAATTTTGTTCGTTAAACAAAGTTTTATTCACTATCCAATTTGCCTATTTGAAACCATTTCATTAAAAGATGTAGTTTAGGCTCTTAACTTAGTGTGAGTCCAAATTTAGTGCTTGATTATTTTGTGTTTACTATTAATGTTAAATTTTTTTAATTTTTCTTGAATTACACCGTACCTTCAAGCACATGTTATCGCTATCTATATAATAAAATAGAAGAGAACTTGAACCTCTAGAAGCCCTCTTGACCCTCTAAGGTTTGTGTACTTTTCTCCCCTCTCTCTCTTTCTCTGTTCTTCCTCTTCTTCACCACACACTGCAGACACCCATGGCACACACCGAGCACGCATACGCATAAACCAGCGTACATACACACAGCA